AGCTACTGTAATTTGGCAAAAGAAGGAATATTTTTGCACTTGGTTAATGAGTTCACATTGGCAGAAGCTCAAGTTCATAAAAATATTTCTCATCCAAAATGTATTCTACTAATGAGCATTTGTCTCCTGGGATGGTTTCTATTGTGTGGAAAAAATGGTCCATGAAACTCTGTCAGCAGCCAGCATCAACTGAACCTCTCCTTGTGCCGGTAATAAAGCATAAGTAACCCACTTTGTCTGTGAACTTAAAAAGGAACTAAGTTTTGAAACAAAGTTAGCACTCAGATTCTCAACAGTCCTTGACCTTCAATAATTCAGAGTGATGGTCATTTTCATTGAATGCATTGGAAACCATGCCATGGGGGCAACATTCAGTGAAGTCTGAAGGTGCAGCTGTTGTTGTTGTTTAGTGTTTAGTCATGTCCGACTCTTCGTGACCCCATGGACCAGAGCACATCAGGCACTTCTGTCTTCCATTGCCTCCCGCAGTTTAGTCAAACTCATGCTGGTAGCTTTGAGAACACTGTCCAACCATCTCATCCTCTGTTGTCCCCTTCTCCTTGTGCCCTCCATCTTTCCCAACATCAGGGTCTTTTCCAGGGAGTCTTCTCTGCTCATGTGCCAAAGTACTGGAGTCTCAGCTTCAGGATCTGTCCTTCCAGTGAGCACTCAGGGCTGATTTCCTTCAGAATGGAGAGTTTTGAAATGTCAGGTGGAAAAGAAAGAATGGACAACTGGTAAAGGGGAATGGAATGGAGTATTCTGGATTAGAACTTAGCTAGCTGGTGGGAAAGGAGCACACCTTTAGGATGTGATGATACACTGCAAGAAAAATGTCCCATGTGTAATATGCAGAGCTTCAACCTGAAAGCTTTGCTTTTATTGATGAGCGGCTTTGAAATACTTGTTCTGCAGGAGTTACTTTAATTGGGATAAAACATTTGGATTTTTATTCTCCAAAGCTGTCTAGAGAACAAAATTAATCATCAATGCATTCCTGAAGAAAAGCCTCACTAAGTTTAGAACATAAATTGCATGCTGCAGATTTTGCACGTCTTTCATTATTTCCGTGGCAGTCTTTCTGCACTTTGCCTTCTCTACTTGGCCGTTTCTTGCAAGTCAGAATCGAACTCAAGTTCTTCCTGTTTCCCGCACAAGCTGCCAATGGAGAGTGCCGATTGATTGGCCCTTGTGGCAATCACACACACACACACACACACACACTCCTTGCAACATTGTAAGAGAAAGAAAGATTGCCTTTAAAACAAAAAGTTCTGAGGTGAAAACATAGCTGGATCAACAAGTGCAGCAAGAAAAGCAAACACACATTAGATTCAGAGCCTGGCACAGAGAAAAAAGATGGAAGAAAGCAGAATTCTGCAGGTATGTAGATTGTACACACCCATAACTACTTTGAGATATTTTACCCTCTAATTATTTTAACACCACAAGAAAACCACTGTATTCCACAAGGCCTTAAGAATGATATATCAAAAAGTTGCTGCTTCTGCAATATAATTTTAAAAACAGGGTGGCATTTTCAATTCTAAGATGAAACTTTACCTGAAGTGGAGGATTGTGTTAGATTTTGCCTCTGGCTGTTGAAAGAAAATGTTCCTATGGTGCCGTCCATTGCTTTCTGGATCTTAAAGAGGAAGGGACATGGAGGCTCTGTTTATGACTTGGCTAGAAAGAAAAAATGTAATACATGTAACTTGATTGGCTTGGATAGATACATTTATGGGGCCACCACAATGCATCCTGGCTATAATTGACACAATCAAAGCCTGGTAATAAATTGTGACACCCGCTGTGTTCATGGCTAGTTGTTGCATTGTCCTATTGGCCCGTATGCAGTCCCACATGACTGCAGCCAATATGATACTTTTCCCACGTGACTTCAGCCAATAGGGCTGCTTTGTTTGTGGGATAGTAGCATTTATTAATGGGGGTGTGGTCTTACATAGATTGTTAAAGAGAGAAGTACCAACATCTATAAACATACCCCTTAATTGGTAATATATTTTCTACACTTCATTGTACACCAGTATTTATAACCTTTCTTTTCTTCCTCTGCTTCACCATGTCCCCACTATCTGGAAAAGACACAAACCATCTTTCAGCACTGCCTAGCTGTAGGAGGCCCAGGTCTGGATTTCAGTAAGGTCATCCATTTTTGTCTTTTACAGGACAAATGATTTCATCAGGCACAGAGTAGGAGCCAGTTTTCTGTCTTTGCTATCTGACACATCTACAGACTTCTTCATATTAGGGCTAAAGATGGCCAAGTAGTGAAGGCAAAGTGCAAAAATACTGCCATGGAAATAATGAAAGGCATGCCAAATCTTCAGCAGGCAATTTATGCTCTGAATCGAATGAAGCTCTTCTTCAGGAATGCATTGGTAATGAATTTTGTTCTCCAGACAGCCTTGGAGAGTAACAAATCCTAATGCTTTATCCAAATTAAAGCAACTCTACCAGAACAAGCGTTTCAATGCCACTCATCAATAAAAGCAAAGCGTTCAGGTTGAAAGTATGTGCATTACACAGGAGACATTTTTCTTGCTGTGGATCTTCACATCCTAACGGGAACATTCCTTTTCGGGTGGCAATCAGCCAACTAGCCAGGAGAGCCAATATTACAGGAGTGTTCAGTATTACTCTTTCCTCATGTTGTTGCCTCATAGGTTCCCCAAACACAGTGGGTCCCTCCGGACTGGTGTGTCGTCTTTTGCTGCCATTGCAATGTTAGTGGTGGACCATTTACACATCATTCCAATTTATTAGTGGTTCTGATATGCTTCTCCATTGTCATGGCCTTATTGTCATCTACAGGGGTGCTCTTTGCACCATGGAGCAACAGAACCAAGGCGAAACATCTGGAATATTTGTGGTATGGAAAAAGACATGATTTCAGCAGGAAGTTACTGGGAGAGACACAGAAATGAAGCAGTATGTCTGTGCCGAAACTTTTGCAGATGCAAACAAGTATGCATTGAAAGTGGGATTGCCTATAAACAACCGCAGTGACATGGGGAGCACAAATGGTCATGAATCTACAATAAAAAGGGTCTCTGGAGGGGGCTCTGTCCCCATCCTCCTCTTGCAAGACATGCTTTGCTGTTCATTGCTTTGCTAGCATTTCACAGCCTCACTTATGCTGAAAAGCACATTGGCTATAAAACTGAAAAAAATACTGTTTGGCTGATGGAAAAGTAAGTACCTGAAAAATAGGCATCCAGCGTGATTCTTCTGGGCCAGAGAAACGTGACTGAATAAAATAAATAATTCTAAGTCATGTGAAAGTCTTTAAAAATAAAATTGTCAGCAGCAGATGGTTAGAGGCTTCCATGTGGCTCACGACTCACTGATTTCAAGCCAGCATCTTGTCCCCTGGCTCTTCTGGCTTATGTAGCCCCATGGAGTGATGGGCCAGATGAAATAGATTATCTTGACTGAGCTTGAGATAAAACCAACGTGTGCCTTTTGGCAATGGGGTTGCGAATAAACATTTTTAATTGCTGAGTTGAAAGCAAACTTTCCATGGTGCCCATCATAAACTGCTCTATTCTGAGAGCCACTTCAGACTTGACAACATTTCAGCACAAAAGCACTTATGTGTAGGGATTGAACAAATTTAGAAATGACTTGCCATCCTACTTTTGTTTGTTCATTGCTTGTTTTTTATTTTTTTTAAATACTGCTGTGAACAATGAAAATCACCAAGAGGTTTTTATGGAAATCAACAGAAGCCACACAATAACCTTCATTAAAGTTTCCTGAGTAACCATCTGTAAAAAGGTTACCCTGCAATGATGATATTGTAGATGCTGTGAAGTCTTGATTGCCTGTAGCTTCCCAATGCCATGTACCTCCTTGTCCTGATCCATTTGGGTTCTTACAGACCCTCTGGAACTGTGCGCACACACAACTCTTCAATAAAAGCTAAAATGGTTTGGCATGTGGCAGCCAATAGGTGGAATTCTTTGAACTCTTTAAAAAAGGGCATTGAATGTGTGTGGTTCTGCCACACAGACATCAACTTTGTGTAGTGACCCTAGCTAGACAGTACCTATGTAAAGATGTATGTCAGCATATGCAATTGCCATGTGATAATCTACATGTGGGACATATGCTATTTTTCTATAGAGAAGTGCCTCCTTTGTGATAACTTTGACCCATCAGTCCTTGGGCTCACTCCAGAATGAATGCAATTAATTTGCTCTTTTTTATTTTATTGTATTTGCAGCGGGGCTGGAGCAATCGCAGTGGTAAAGGGGTAACAATTTAACCTTTCCTTCCCTACTGTGGTTCTAATGAAAATAATCTCAGTGAAGCTGGTGTTTGCACTGGAAGGGAAGCCTCCATTGATGCCAGTGTAGAAGCCAGCTTCAGGGAGATGACTTTCATCAGGATCACAGTGGGGGAGGGGTGGAGAGAGAGTTAAATTCTCCTTCTCCTTCTGCTGTGGTGCCACTACTCCTTCCCTCCTTGCAGCTGCTATTAACTTTTTAAATACACACATTATTTGCATTTATGGGGTTAACACTGCATCTAGTTTGGCTCTGAGATATCTTTTGCAGCTAGTGACATTTTGGCTGTGGCACTCCTTTTTAGAAAATAGATAGGAAAATCAACTAACACGGGAAGCTGTCCTATACTGAGTGGGACCTTTGTTTAATCTCACTCAGTACTGTCTACACCAGGGGTCAGCAAACTTTTTCAGCAGGGGGCCGGTCCACTGTCCCTCAGACCTTGTGGGGGGCCGGGCTATATTTTGAAGAAGAAAAAAGAATGAATTCCTATGCCCCCAAAATAACCCAGAGATGTATTTTAAATAAAAGGACACATTCTACTCATGTAAAAACACGCTGATTCCCAGACCGTCGGTGGGCCGGATTTAGAAGGCAATTGGGCCGGATCCAGCCCCTGGGCCTTAGTTTGCCTACCCATGGTCTACACTGATGGGTTCCAGGCAGGAAGTCTTTCCTGGTCCTACTTGGAGATGTCAGGGGTTGAACTTGGGACCTTCTGCATTCAAAGGCAGATGCTCCACCAATGAGCTGCATTTCTTTCCAAAGAACCATGCAGGAGCAGAAACGCCATTTCTCATTTGAAGGAGATTCCCCACCAGTATAGTGGGTGCTTCATTTGAAGTGAGCTGGTGTCCATGCATTATCCTCCACCCGTCAACAGATGTATTGCCTTCCCTGGGAGCATTCTCTTCCATTCTTCTATCTTTCTATCCGTCAGTCAGTCGTTTTCCTCGCCAGTTTGAACTTGCCTGCAGGAGGGACATCATTTCCTGCAATAAAACAGAGGGCCTGGCATTTCAAAGCACACTCATTTAAGCATGAATATTTAAAGTAGTGTCATGAAAAATCAGTGTGATGTCATGGAGCGCATGTGGCAAAGAAATTAGTTTGTGCCTTTTGTGAGAAAGACTTGGGTTGCCTCCTGGAAATGGCAAAAAAAATCAAAAAAATAAATCATGCATTTGCAAAAGTACAATGCTTCTACTTAGCCCCGGTCGCTTATCCACCACTTTCCTTGCAGATATTATGTGTCTCACACTGTCTGTGCATCAGTAAAAATGCAAATGATTTTCAGCCATCTGGCTCATACAGCGTTCCTGTAGTAATTGCTCAAATTGCCCATCCCTTACTGGGCATTTAAAAATACACACACACACACACACACACACATAAAATATCCAATATATGCTGGACAGATAGAACAAATTTAACTTGTAAATGACTTTTCCATTTATGTTATAAACCTCAGAAGCTTTCTATGGACTGGTTTTACTTTTCCAATGTTTATTCATACAGAGAACTCAGACTTCTAACTCTTGCATATACAAATACATGTCATTATGTAGCGCAAGCAGTTTTACCATCTCTCTGTTCCAGCAGGGCAACCAAACTTTAGTTTAATAGAGACTCAGTCCCACTTTATTATACTTCTATGTACAAATATTACGTCTTCATTTCTAAGCATGATCTTGCAGCTCATGATACTGTTCCAAGTCTTTCCTACCTTCTCCTCTGGCTGCCACTGTCATTACTTCATCAAAATACACTTAAGTCATTTTTCTCCCAGTGTTCAATACTGCTCTCCTCTCACTCTGCTCTACAAGAGCACCTGCAGAATAATATGTGAGATTATGGGTGGTATTCAACCAACAATATACAGTGGTACCTCAGGTTAAGTACTTAATTTGTTCCAGAGGTCCGTACTTAACCTGAAACTGTTCTTAACCTGAAGCACCAGTTTAGCTAATGGGGCCTCCTGCTGCCGCCGCGCCGCCGGAGCACGATTTCTGTTCTCATCCTAAAGCAAAGTTCTTAACCTGAAGCACTATTTCTGGGTTAGCGGAGTCTGTAACCTGAAGCGTATGTAACCCGAAGTACCACTGTAACAATGTCAGTAGGGCTTTTTCCCACCCAGAACTCACTGGAACTGGTACCTCTCAGAGGTGCACCATTGCCATTATAAGAGAATAAGGGAGGCGTTCATGTTGAGTTCTGGCACTTCTTTTTCTAGAAAAAAACACTGAGTAGGCACCTGGCAAGCTTCACTTGGGAGAGGACTCCAGAGGTGGTGTTCCACCACCAAGAGACTTCAGGCAGCTAACAGTTGACAATTTACCCAGAGGGAATGTGGCCCTAGTTGCTGTCTTGTGCCCAGTCAGGCCATTGGTCCATCTAGCTCAGTCTTGTCCACACTGACTGGGAGCAGTTCCTTAGACACTCTGCCAGCCCTACCTGGAGAAGCTGAGGATTGAACCTGGGACGTTCTGCATGCAAAGCAGACCATCCCCCACTGAGCTATAGCCCTGTTGTTATTGTTGTTGTTGTTTAGTCATGTCCGACTCTTCGTGACCCCCTGGACCAGAGCATGCCAGGCACTCCTGTCTTCCACTGCCTCCTGCAGTTTGGTCAAACTCATGCTGGTAGCTTCGAGAACACTGTCCAACCATCTCGTCCTCTGTCGTCCCCTTCTCCTTGGGCCCTCCATCTTTCCCAACATCAGGGTCTTTTCCAGGGAGTCTTCTCTTCTCATGAGGTGGCCAAAGTATTGGAGCCTCAGCTTCAGGATCTGTCCTTCCAGTGAGCACTCAGGGCTGATTTCCTTAAGAATGGATGGGTTTGATCTTCTTGCAGTCCATGGGACTCTCAAGAGTCTCCTCCAGCACCAGAATTCAAAAGCATCAATTCTTCGGCAATCAGCCTTCTTTATGGTCCAGCTCTCACTTCCATATATCACTACTGGGAAAACCATAGCTTTAACAATACGGACCTTTGCCGGCAAGGTGATGTCTCTGCTTTTTAAGATGCTGTCCTACAGTCCCATAGGTGAGGACAAAGTTAAACAAATGAGCAAATGGATGGTGGCTGATGATCTCGCAGTATTCTGGGTTTTGTTGCCCCTATGGAATATGAAAGACGTTACTGTTGCTTAAAACAATTATTCTTCCTACACATGCCATTCCTTCTAACTGGTGGACCACAGTGAGAAAGACAAGATAGCTAGTTTTTTGGGGGGGAGAAGGACATAGGAGATGCACATTCAAGAAATATGTATTATGAAGGAAATAACTTTTGGGAGGCCAATGCCCAACTGAAGACGATGACAAGATAATTATAGTATCGGGAGGTATGAAGTAATGGCTCAGACTGTTTAAGCAGCACAGGATCCAGTCTTGGAAGGTTTTACATTTCAGCAGGGTTAAAGGCCAATTTGAAACGAAACTTGACAGACAGTGTACAATAAGGAGAGACACTTCATGGTAAGATATTTCAACTCCAGGGCAGTTCTGATGTCTAATGGGACACAAGAAGCTGGCAATTAGTGCCATGCCTATGAAGGAACTCTGGGATTTGCCTTCCTTGATCTGCACCCTTCTCCAGCACAATCACTTTTTAAATACAGGAAGCTACCTTATACCAGGTGAGATGATCAATACCAGGTCAGATGATTGTAGGAATAAGCTGATAACTCTAAATTCAGTATGTGCCAATTTTACTTCCTTTTTAAGTCCATTCCATCCTGTTTCTACATTATTCTATGATCCTTCTTTTTTAAAAAAAATGTGCCCCAAACTCTTAAAAATATGCTTACAATGTGATGTGAGGACTACCTTTGATTTTTTTTTTTTTTAAAGCAGATAATAGAAGCTTGGAGGGCTAACAAGCATGACTACTTCTGCTTGGGCTGAAAATAGGGCCACAATTAAGGTAAAGGTAAAGGGACCCCTGACCATTAAGTCCAGCCGCTGAAGACTCTGGGATTGCGGCGCTCATCTCGCTTTATTGGCTGAGGAAGCCGGCGTTTGTCTGCAGACAGTTTCTGGGTCCTGTGGCCAGCATGACTAAACCGCTTCTGGCGAACTAGAGCAGTGCATGGAAATGCCGTTTACCTTCCCGCTGGAGCGGTACCTATTTATCTACTTGCACTTTGATGTGCTTTCGAACTGCTGGGTTGGCAGGAGCAGGGACTGAGCAACGGGAGCTCACCCCGTCGCAGGGATTTGAACTGCTGACCTTCTGATTGGCAAGTTCTAGGCTCTGTGGTTTAGACCACAGTGCCACCCACATCCCCAGGGCCAGAATTATCCAGGGAGAAATGAGGCAGGATCACTTGTTATCCCATCCAGGGACATTTTACAGAAGAAAAATGGCTGCCCCAGTGGACCTGTAGTGCTTTCTAGCAGTTCCAAATGGCTGTTACCTGTAAAAGAAAAGAAAGGAAAATGCTTAAAAGGCAGCTCTAGATTTTTTTTTAGAGTGTAGATTCAAAACAGGATCATATTCCTGTCCACATTTTAATCCACTTCAGAATGCAGATGCACTGAATCCTCCTATCTGAATGGCAGTGGCTCGCCTAGATTTCAGTCAGAAGTCTATCACCTTTTGACTGGTTTTTCTCAATTAGAGATTGAACCTGAGACCATCATGTGCAAAGTATTTATGTTATCACTGAGCTATATCTCCTTCCCACTTATGAAATGGGCCGATGTCCTCAAAATGCATATCTATAGTACTTCATACATGCACACACATTCCTAATTGAGATCTCTGAACCCAGCCCATAAACTTCAGACAGAAACGAGAAAGTTTTGTGCAGCAACTCCTACAAAGGACTTTTATTTATTTATAGTATTTTAGCCTCCTCCTTTTTACTATAAACAAGCCAACACTGCCAGGCGACTATGGAATAGATTGTTTTATTATTGTCGTATTACCTTTTGGCAATGGTTAAGGCAACAGCATAGTCTGAAAAGGTCAGCAGCATTCAACGTATTGTAAAACAGATAATAATAATTTTAAAATTCACCTGGTACTGAAAAGGAGTAATATTTTGTGCCTGGTGAACCTCTCTGGGAAGTTACAGGTAGGTAGCCGTGTTGGTCTGCTGTAGTCAAAACAAAATAAAAAAGTTAGTTGGTCTCTAGGGTGCTACTGGAAAGATTTTTTTTATTCTCTCTGGGAAGGTAATTCAGGACTGAGGCACCACTACAAAGAAGGCTCTGTCCCCAGTTGCCAACAGCCTTATCTCCAAAGGTGTAGTTACCTGGGACAGGGTCCCTGAAGATGATCTCAACATTTGGGCAGATCACAGATGAGAATTATAATCCGTCACCTAGTTTATTCAGAAATAAATTTCATAGATTTTATTGAGACATGTTTCAAGTAAATGTGCTTAGGATTCCAACCTTAAGCATGATTTGTATTAAATCGGTTTTATTGCAATTGAAAAACTGTAACTTCCACAGAGAGCAACATGACTGTCTGTGTGTTTCTGTCTGCCATCGGTATATTCAAACCCATCATTATGCCTGTATTCTAGTAAAGCATCTTTGGAATTTTTCTAGCCTTAGGCGGGCTATCTTTGAGCTCCCTTAATTGATCTTTAACCTTTGTCTGCCGCTCTGCGATTGGAAGTGCATTTTGTTTGAATATAACATGCATGGATAATTTTCACCAGGACCAAAGATAGTCAAATTACAGACTGCCTGAAGTTAGGGAAGCCATGAGATCTCTCGTAAAAAAAACATCATTAATCATGGAGATGAGGTAATCAATGAAAAAGCAAGGGACCCTCATCCACAATCCCTTTCCAGATTTATGGATCCTTCAGAGCTGTAAGGTCCCAATGAAATCCTGTACTGGCCTAATCATGTGCTGGCAAATAGGAATGTGCATTAGCTGCCAGGCCCAGAGCTGTTTTAGCTGCAGAAGTGCAAACAGGTTGATGGATCAGGTTTGTTTGTGGATACCCAAGGGTCATAGCTCTGTGGTAGAACATCTGCCTTGCATGCAGAAGGTCCCATGTTCAATCGCCGGCATCATCAAATTGAGAGAGAACTCTGCCTGAAACTCTGGACAGCTGCTGCCACTGAGTGTATGGCACCTTCCTGTGTTCTCCAAATGTTTAAACCAAGGTTTCCCAAACTTGGGTCTTCAGCTGTTTTAGGACTACAACTCCCATCATCCCTAGCTGGCAGGAACAGTGGTCAGGGATGATGGGAATTGTAGTCCAAAAACAGCTGGGACCCAAGTTTGGGAAACCCTGGTTTACAATAATAACTCTAAAGCCAGTCTTCTATGGGATTGGTTTCTCCTGTGTGAGGGGAGTGTACTGGAAATGCATAGCTTGCATGCTATTATGAGAAAATTGCACAAAACACACATTTTCACAAGGACTTCTACTGTAAAAAGTAATAATTTGCAAGCTGATGTGGAAATGTGGAGAACTGACCTTAAGATTGCAGAAATGAGAAATTGAGAAGAAAACAAAAATTGACAAATTTGCCCATCCCTAGGGAGTAGGTAGATACTCATACAGTGGTGCCCCGCAAGACGAATGCCTCGCAAGACGAAAAACTCTCAAAACGAAAGGGTTTTTTGTTTTTTGAGCTGCTTCGCAAGACGATTTTCCCTATGGGCTTGCTTCTCAAGACGGAAACGTCTTGCAAGTTTGTTTCCTTTTTCTTAACACCGTTAATACAGTTGCGACTTGACTTCGAGGAGCAACTCATAGCACGCGGTGTGATAGCCTTTTTTGAGGTTTTTAAAGACTCTGGTGATTTTTGAAGCTTTTCCAAAACTTTCCTGACACTGTGCTTCGCAAGACGAAAAAAATCGCAAGACGACAAAACTCGCGGAACGAATTAATTTCATCTTGCGAGGCACCACTGTATTCATTAATATGAGTGAGTGAATGAATGAATACCCCTATTAATTAATTAATTAAGAATATGGATAACCTGCATCTCCCTGATCCCAGGGCATGGGTTCCAAGTACAAAGTACAAATTCACATTAAAAGAGAGTATTAAGTCGCACACAATTAGCAACACCATCCAAAACCAGAGACCAGAATAACCTACCAGCAGCTAACTAACTGCCAAGTGGGATGCAAACAACACCTGAACATTTCTTGCCACCTGAGATTCCAATATACTAAAATGCTTCCTTGGGCCCTCAATTCATACAGGTGAGGTTGCATGCATCCAATAGTCACCACTGATTTTAATTTACGTAAGTGATGGGGAGAAAAATGTAGGTTCTGCTATTTCGGTGTTACTCCATGGTTGCTATTTATTTCTGTACCGAAAGCAAAAATATTTTTATGAAAGGAAATGAACTACCGGTAACTAAAACCAGAAGCTAAATATAAAAACAGTGCAGGGACCACTCAGAAGTTCTTACATCTTTTTCTCATCTGCGGTATAGATAGGAAGGTTTCATAAGTTACGCATATGAACTTAGATGTATTAAATGACTGCATCTAACCTTCCCTTGTTTTTTTTGTAGTTTCTTTTGTTGACTGACCATTTGAAAAAGAGAGAAATAACTAATGAGCTGAGGTCTCTTTGCTAGATGATGATTAATGGAAGGTTCACTGCATGCTTGCTTCATGTTTTGTACAATAAGGACGTTGAAATGTCATTTCTTCTTCTGGAACCTTTAAGTGCATCGCAATTACATTACATTTGCTTGGCTCTGCCGATAGCCTTTGAAGTGGAAGCAAAGAGGAAGGTAGCAGTAGACACTGCAGTCGATAGCATCTGTGATACACCAGACAGCTCAATAGCTCTGTGTTCTGCCTTTTGCATGTCTTCAATATTCCCATTGTTACGGTATTGCTGGTAAATGCAGGGAGATAATACAAATGGAAGACGACATTTTTTAAAAAAACCAAAACAAAACCCAAAGCCATGGAGATATGATACGACTTTGCATCTGGCCATGACAAATGAAAGATATAATCCTGTGTCATGAATAATGGAATGATTACTTCCCAAAATTATACCCTCTGTCCCAGAGATGTGTGATTGCATGGCAATTCTAAATTAAAACAAAATAGTGCTTCTGTAGCCTTCCCAACCTCTGTGGAATGCATTAGGGCTTCCCCAGAGGTCCATTTTTGTTGTGCATTCATGGTTATATGTGCTATCAGGTATATGTGGTATCAGGTATCATTATGTGTGATCTCTCTTTAAATACTGTTTGTACCTGAAAAGGTTTTGAGGAGGACATACTCCTTTGTTTCAGATTAGAGCATGTTTCATAGCTTCATGCTGAAATCCTGTAACTTTTCATAGAATCCTAGCGTAGAAAGGGGCTCAAGGGTCATCTAGTCCCACCCTCTGCAATGCAGGAATCTCAGCTAAAGCATCCGTGACTGATGGCCATCCAACCTCTGCTTAAAAACCTCCAAGGAGGGAGAGTCCACAACCTTTCAAGGGGGACCATTCCACTGTTGAACAGCTCTTACATTCAGAAAGTTTTTTTCCGTATGTTTAGTTGGAATCTCCTTTTCATTCCACCAATGATGTTGTTGTACTATAGTGCAAGAATGCCCCTTCGATGGCGATAATGCAGTAGCCTTGGGGAAGCATCATAAAACCACTGATAATGTGTGGGTGCTCCAATATAAATCCACCATTTTTGCATCAATGACATGTTGCAGAATATACCCTCTCATTAAAAAACAACAACAAACCCTCCAATCTGGAAGTGCCCTTACTGTAGTGCTAACTTACTGTACTATGTAGACTGGGAAGGCCATTGGGTGCTGGGTGAAAATCAAGGCATAAGATGAAGGCTCTAGCAACAACAAAAAGAAGCTTTTGTTTGAAAGGCAGAAAATAACTACCAAACTTTTAGAAGACATCTGAAGGCAGCCCTGTTTAGGGAAGCTTTTAATGTTTAATAGGTTATTGTATTTTAGTGTTTTGTTGGAAGCCGCCCAGAGTGGCTGGGGAAACCCAGCCAGATGGGTGGGGTATAAATAAATAATAATAATAATAATAATAATTATTATTATTATTATTATTATTATTCAGTTCCTGTGATATTTCTAAGTGGGAAAAGCAGACTTAAGAGCTGTTTAGATATGAAAATAACATGGAAAAATGTTTCCCACTCCACCTAGTTGATAGTTTTCTTATTTTAGTAATAAAGTGATTTATTACTTTATTATTACTTGGTAATAAAGCGATTTCTTTCTTTTTCAAAGCATTTCTTTCTTTCTTTTGCTATCCGCTCATCCTCCTAGCTTATAGCGGATCTTCAAGCCTTCATGCTTTTAGTTGAGCTTCTTTTGTCTCTAGAGCTGGGAAGCAGAACATGGAGCCCTCCAGATTTTTCTAGACTCCAACGCCCTTCTGCTCCAAACAGCAGTGATGGGAGCTGTAGTCTAACTACATCTGAAGTGTCAGAAGTTTTCCATTCCTGATGCAGAATCCTGATCTTCTCTATCCTGGTTTCTTATGATTTCTGTGGGTCTATGTGTGACTTCAGCTTCTGTAATGGGACATCATCTTAGTACACCCCTGTAGTCCCTGCACATCCTGTGCACCCTAAGAATCTGCTCCACAGGGTATGGGGATCCTCCAGAGCAGATTTAGGGGACATATGGGAGGCTGCAGAGGAAGGAGAACAGTCTCGCACAATGTTGCATTCTTCTTTCCTCTTCAGGAAGATGACAGGGAATCTACAAACCCTGCTGTGCTCACGGTTTTATGGAGAAAAACTATGGCTTTCCTTTTTTAACAACAACAACAACAACCCTCAGTATATTAAATGAGATTCACACGCACTGCCAATTCCCCACTTTAACAGTCAACAGAGTTTACACAATGCTTTCTTGATGCTGTGAATATTCCATACCTTCTGACCTTGCAGTGACACATCTCTAACTTGCGTGGCCTCCATCCAGCATTCCTTGTGTAAGCACATTATCCCACTGCAATTTCTGTGTCCTTCTAGTCGCTAGTACTGCACAAAAGCAGTTAATGAGGCCACATATTCTGCCAGACAAGCAATCTGGGTCTCAGTCCAGGTACGCATGTGAATACATTTAAGCATATGAGTAGACCAGGGATTCCATGTGGAAATGGGAGATGAAGTTTTTTGTGTTATTGTGCATGGGTAAATATGCAATATCTGGTTGAAGAGAGACACAAGCTTGCTAGCCCCTGTCCTAATTTAATGTACTTTATTCCCCATCTCTAGCAGGGCATTTGCAAAAAATCTTAGGTTCCATTAGTTTGCCTTACCATCAATGTCCCCTAGATGTATTGTTATGCTGATGCCAATTCAGTGTGTGGTGAGAACTCCAGAGACACAGTGTGTAGCCAGGTTCCTTTGGAGGCTTGCGGTATGTTGGCGGTTTATGGTCTATTTACATGCAAGTAAAGGATATGACAGGACACAGGTGGCGCTGTGGGTTAAACCACAGAGCCTAGGACTTGCCGATCAGAAGGTCGGCGGTTCGATTCCCCGCGACGGGGTGAGCTCCTGTTTCTCGGTCCCTGTTCCTGCCAACCTAGCAGTTCAGAAGCACGTCAAGGTGCAAGTAGATAAATAGGTACAGCTCCAGCGGGAAGGTAAACGGCGTTTCCGTGCTCTGCTCTGGTTCACCAGAAGCGGCTTAGTCCTGCTGGCCACATGACCCGGAAGCTGTACGCCGGCTCCCTCGGCCAATAAAGCGAGATGAGTGCTGCAACTCCAGAGTCGGCCACGACTGGACCTAATGGTCAGGGGTCCCTTTACCTTTACCTAAAGGATATGACTAAGTGAAAAGTTCAGAGCATTAACACTCCAACAGATCCTATTAGATTTTCAGGGGGCAGAGGCAGCATGTCCTGTTTCGCCGCTTGAGGAGAAACTGCTGCCTTGCCCTGCCCTGCCCTGCCACTGCTACGGCCACTGCCATATCTGCTGCCGCTGCCACTGCTTCTCCACCTGCCCTCCCACCACTGCCAATTTGGGCCAATATCGGCATTACTTCATAACTGGCATTCTGAGGGCTCCTCTGGATGACCTGTTTATTCATACTTATT